ATACTGTGGAAGCCAACGAGGTGAAAGGTGAGGCCGAGCAAACCCTGAGGGGTCCCTCCTCCGCCAAGATTCCGGAAGCCAGTTCCAGTAGCAGCAGCAGACAACTGACCGACCTTGAAGAATACCTTTTGACTGATCCACTGGGCGGTGGATCACGGCGAACGCACACGGCAGCTACCCAGAAGCTTTCGATGATACGCAAATCGTTCGTTAGTAGTGTTACGAAGCGGAATGGACATCGTGACTGGGATAACAGTGATGTACCGACTGGCAGACGAGACCCAAAGGAGCTGAGGGAACGACAGTCGAAGTGCGTTACAGGCACATCCAGTGTATCTAGGAGTGATACAGAAGCTGGGTGTGTGACTGGTAGTTGTAACCAAGATGATGTACCCTTGGTTGGTCCTGTGGAGAATGGACCTTTGCGGCAAACGCGCACTGAGACAGGTTCTCGTTACCTGATGAAGCCGATCCTGACAGGTTGCTGCAACGTAGTAAGGGAGGTGCATCGAGGACTACCCAGGATATGCGATGGTGATGCAGATATTTGTATGCAGAAAGAAGACGCAGCGAGGGAGTCGACGCAGCCCAAGGCACTGGGACACAGTGGGGGTTCGCCGAGGCTTCCGCGTCGAACTGCGGGGTCGGACACCCAGCGCAGGAGCCTCAAAGGGAGTGAGGACTCGCTGCAAGGGTGCTCTTGGCCGACAACGCATAAGGCCAAAGGTGGTACCGCTTTGAGAGCATTAGAGACCAGCCTGAAGCCGAAGCGGACTGTCCACTGGGGTACCAGCACATGGATACCAGCAGCAGTGGAGCAGAATATTTTCAGGAAATGGAACCCGGAGGACCTGGACCTTTCCGTTTTGGATGATGTACATTCATCAGAAGAACCCAGAGATTTGGGACATATCATCACTACAGATGAGAAGCAGATAGTCATCGCTATAGATGAAAACCAGTTACCAGAGAAGCATGAGTTGCCGATCTGGAATGCAGCAGAGGACTCCAGACGTAAACAGGTAGACCGCCTGCCACGAAGGCGCAAGAGGCCCTATCCAGATGTTTACAACGAGTCAATACTAGAAACAGAAGAACCACCAAGTAGATGGGAAAACCGGCTGTCAAGAAGACGCAAGAGACCCCATCTACAGGTTCTTGGAGATATCCAGCAGGCAGATGTGCCTAAGAAAATTAAGAGAAAGAAAGGTTTACCTCCAGAGGAGATAGCCTGGACTCCAGGAGAACCACCCGGCAAGTCGGGACTCCGTACAGAATTGGATTGGACTCACCAGAGGAAAACCCCAAGAGGACGTTGCGAAAGATACGCGCGATCCGGGAGTGAAGGAGCAGGTGAAGCGGCTCGACAGGACTGTGAAGGCTAGCCTGCAGCGTGCCAAAGAGTGGGTGACGACTGCGAAAGGGCGAACCTGCCATCGGTTTGTCAAGCGCGCGGACACATAAATTCGGGGGAGTCAAGCCATCATTAGACTAGCCTCTGGGCTGTCGACTCAACGTTACCGTTGGGACCCTCCAGGACAACGAAACCCTTTTTCCAAACTTCCTGCGGACGGCCCTCATCCTAGGGTGCGGTTCAACAGTTAGGCTCCTTGATCCTTATATTTAGCTCAGTTCACTCTGTAGGCCTTGTTAGGAAACTTAGTTTTCGCGAACAAGAGTGAACTTAGAATTTAGCTTTCCGTGAATCCTTCCCTCTATCTATATCCAAGCCAGAGTCATTGTAGGGATTTTTGAAACCGAAAAATGCAGACTAGGGAACAAGCGCGAACAAAACTTGCAAGGGATACGACGGTGCAAAATCGCGTGGTCAAACCCTTCGACCAAAGTTTTCCCGAATCAGACAACTTTAGTCGCCTTTGTGCGACTTCGACGACACAGCGAGAACCCCCAATGGAATCTGTGTTCGCGGGACACAGTATTCCACGAACTCCAGCTGAGACATCTAGTCTGAGGATGTCTCAAGCTATTCGAAACACATCTGTCAATGAGGACACTAGTACCTCTTCCGTGGTCGCAGAGCGACAAAACCGTGGCACTTTCGGCTCCCTTGCAAGTCGTGTAGATAGACAAAGCGAAAATTCTCAAAGGACTCAGTCCTCAATTCGTGGTAAACTTTCGCGTAGTCAAGATTTACTAAATCGAATTAGGGAATTTAAAACTCCGGAGAACCAGCAGAATAGCATTTTCCAGGAGGAAAATGTAGCAAGGGAACATCAGGAGAGGTTTTCCGAGAAGCTTCCCAATAAGGGAAAAACTTCGAAAGTCCAAAGCGCGCCCCAGTTAGGGCTCCGCGCTATGCTAAAGTCGACACGAAATTCCGCTATACCAAGATCGGTGGCGATGAAACAGATGGAGAATGGAATCCCTCCAAACAGGACAATTCTGTCTGACAATTATGAGAATTTCAGACAACGAGAGGTGTTAGCTACATATGTAGAAACACCTAAAGTGAATATGTACAGGGTGTACAGCCATCCTGTACCACTGACGAATTTTGAATACACAAAGCCATTGTCAACCTCAGGAGAGAGTACATGCAGGAGCAGCCAACACACTCGAGACGAGGAAAGTTTCGAGTGCAACGTGGGACTCTTCAGGGAGGAATCGCCGGCGGGCGTTAAACGCAGAAACGTTTTCCGAAATACGGAGTATTTCGGAAATGAAGAGGAGTCGCCGGCGGGCGTTAAACGTAGAAACGAGGCTTCCCGAAACACTAGGTGTTTCGGAAGTGAGGAGATCGACATCAGGGATGAGTACCTTGGAGATGGGTACTCCGCCGAGGGATGTATCTTCGATGGGTCGCCGGCGGGCGTAAAACGCGAAAACAGGGAAGCAGGACAGGTCGTCCGACGCCAGGCGTCGCGACGCCCCCAGATCCGAACCCTTAGCGGTTTCTGGGAGGGAGATGTTCGGCGCACAGGAGCGCCTTACATCTCTCAGAATACAGCAACTGAGGCCCTAGCGGAAGTGCTAGGGGGAGGTGGAATGCCAGGGGGGCATCCTGAAGCAGTTTGTAGCTTGGGGATGTCTTCATGGCGGGCGAGGTTGCTCACACAGATCGAGACCTACAATGAGCTAGTCAACGCAACAAAACAACCTCCCGTTGAGCTCGGACAGAGTCTGGGTCCCGAAATCCCTGGGACTCAGGTCCGGGAGGCCGTCTCGACGTCTTGAGGCGGTAGCTGACGTGTTTAGCGGAGTCGGCGTTGCTGAGCACGCCTCCGCGCACACCGAAGCGTATGGGTCGTGGGAAAAAGACGTCCAGTATACCCGGCTGGACTATGAGCTCCACCCGAAAGACCCCGCCGACCAAAGTTTTGGAGGACATGTCGCCCAAGGCGTGGGGCTTGAGCACGAGGACGTGCCAAGGATGGTCAGGAGACCAACCCGAACCCTGGAAGGGTTGACAGTGGCGAAAGAACGGATTGTTAGTGATCCCGGCGTAGCCAAAAACTATCTGGCGCCTAACAACTTTGATTTTGATTACCAGCACTGGCCGGGTGCTGATGATGGACGAGAGGTCCGAAATGTTGATTTTTCTGGAAAGGCAGAATTGTCAAGCAGGAGAGGGTGCAGGATAGGCGAAGGGGGTGTACAGGAGGTGCAACCCTCACGGCCTGCTGCACGAGCACGGTTCGAAGAAGAATCGAATGAAATCGAAGTCTTAGAGGCAGATAAGCCAAAAGACAGAATGGAAGAACTGTTCACTAGATTAGTGACAGTTCTGGAAAACAGGCAAGAGCCACAGAGGGATGTGGAAAGTGATTCCCAGAATGGGAAGAAAATCAGAATCCCCCCTCCTACATTCAGTGGATTGGATCATGAAGATCCAACTGAATTTTGCAAAAAGGCAGAAGAGCAGCTACGAGAGCTTCACCCTTCGGTATGGGTAGATACCGCAGGACAATGGCTGAAGGGTGCAGCGGCTGCCTGGTATGGACCGTACAAGAACATGACCCTGGATTGGGAGTTCTTCACCAACCGCCTGCAAGAGAGATTTGACAACGAGTTACTGGTCAGCTCACTGGAGAGCAGCCTCTATGGAGTCGACCAAAGACGAGGCGAACCAGTAACGAATTTCATCCTGCATAAGCTCGGGTTAGCGAGAAGGCTATACCCGGATATGCCAGAAAAGAGAATTGTACAACTGATCCTGAATCGAATGTGTGCGGAGATCAAGATCCATCTCCAGCTGCACACATTTACAAGCATCGAAGAGCTGACCCAGAAAGCGGTGGCTGTAGAGTCACTGCTAAGAGGCANTGTTTCTTGCAGTTCGTTTCAAAGTTATATATCGGTAGTTATTCTGCAGATGACTATTCTTAAAATAAATCTTATCGTTGCTACCTTTCTGAACCATGACCTCATGTATTTGTTTCCAATCAATTATACCTCCTTCATCATCCTTTCTAACCGCTAGTATTTGTAGGTCATTGGATAAGTGGCAACTGCATACAAAAGCATCGCACCGACGATGGAATTTTTATTCTGTCCACTACATCCATCGGAAAATAAAGAGACAGTAGTTATACACTTGGAGTCAATTTGTTTTAGCTATAAATATAAACATGTCGAAATTTCGCTCGAGCCACGTTTACTCAGTCCTTCGTTCCATAGAAAACAGTGGCAGTCTTCAGTTTTAACTTCATAGATAGTGAAGTTATAGTTTGCCAGTCTTCAACGATAAAAGAATTTGCTTTCATTAGTAATTGGTAATTGGTAAAAAAATAACCTGCAAATCAAAAACAGCACATACCTTTAGGGAAGGGTCAGACGAGCGTTCATGAAACGGACGTCGTGACGCGCGTTATTTCCAACGTGCCGAGGCTGTCATGGTCAGACAATCGTTTAGTTGCAAACGGTACAGGAACCATCGACATGGATAACGACGTAGATGTTGCCATATTTTTGTATTTGTCGTTGAAATTAATTAGACAGAAACGAAACAAAAAACGTAAATGGTGGGTGCNGAAGCGTATGGGTCGTGGGAAAAAGACGTCCAGTATACCCGGCTGGACTATGAGCTCCACCCGAAAGACCCCGCCGACCAAAGTTTTGGAGGACACTGCTAACTAAAATAAAGGGTTCGATAACTCTTCAAAACACCAATATGAGATCTGCCATTCCACCGGAAGAAATGTTGGCTTTAAGTTTAAGGTACGTAAAAGTTTTCTTTAGAGTATTGTACAAAATTAACTATAGACTATTTCTATGAAAAATGGTGAAATCATAACAGTAACATATTTCACATAATATTAGTATTGTGCAGAATCACCGTCAGGTGAAAATTGCGACAAATATGATCCAGCCGATGAGCTGCTAGGTCCTAAGGGAGCTAAGTTATTATCAGGGTAGTTTGGGTAACTACATGCATGTCCGCATTGAAAACTCGGAGGATTCCTATACTGCATTGTACTGTGAGTACCAGTATTAGTTGTTGAATTATTTTTGAATCGTTGCAATAGTTGTAAAACTTCTATACGGAATTGAATTTTCTCATCGTTTGTGAGGAGCCTTACCGCTGGAATGAGTGACGTAAAAAAAGCTCCATCTTCGTCTGGTTCTTTTCTATCGTTTTCTGTTTGTTTTTTCAAAGTAGTGTCAATAAATTGGGACAATTTGTCTTCAATATTAGTCTTTTTTCTTTTTCTATTGATTGCTGAAAGAGTTTGGGACTCCGACGTGGCAGTGTGTTCTAGAAAGTCTCCTCAGCAGTTTCAGCATTTTCATTTGCGTTTAGGATTATATTCAGCTCGTCATGATCTTCAGTAGAACCGTCATTATCATCTTCTGTTGGTCGCATTTCACGATTTTTCTTCAAAAACCGAAGCTGTTCTTCGTAAATATAATGCGGTACTCTCTTTCTCGCGGCACCTGACTTCGTTAACACCGTTTGTTTTTTTAAATTCCGAATGAAGCTGTCTCTTATAGATTTCCATTTGGCCGTAACATTTTGTACTGGAATAAACATACAAATTATTAGAAACCTCTTCATAAGTCTTGTCAAACATAAACGAATCACAAAAGTGATATTTCATAAATTGAAAAAAAAATATTTTTTTGTTCCAGATATCTGGCAAGTGGATGTAGTTTGAGGGAAATACACTATGGTTATAGAGTTGGTCGATCAACTGCAGGTGGTATCATACAATTTGTTTGTCAACAATTATGGCTAATACTGAAAAATGAATGCATTCCCAAACCGAATGCAGAAAAATGGAAGCAAATTGCAGCTGGTTTCAATCGCAAAGCTAACTTCCCCCACTGCTTGGGGGCAGTTGATGGCAAGCACATACGACTGGTGAAACCTCAAGGAAGTGCTACTTTATATTTTAATTACAAACAGTACTTTTCCATTAACTTGATGGCAGTAGCTGATTCTAATTACAGATTCATATATGTTGACGTTGGTTCCTATGGTAAAGATGCAGACTCCACAATTTTTGAAAAATGCTCATTATGGCAAGGCATAGAAACTGATACCCTTGATATACCGCCTTCAGAACAGATTCCTGGAATTGATATAGCTATGCCGTATGTATTCATAGGAGATGATGCATTCGCGTTATCAAAATATCTTTTAAAACCATATGCAGGAAAATATTTGTCTGTAAATAAAAGAATATTCAATTACCGACTCTCTAGAGCCAGACGTTTTGTCGAATGTACGTTCGGAATATTGAGCAATAAATGGCGTATATTACATAGACCAATCGATGTTAATGCAGATTTTGCTACTGATATTGTAAAATGCTGCTGTGTACTTCATAATTTTGTACGTGAACGTGATGGTTTCGAGTTTGAAGACACCTTAACCATTCAAGGCTTGGAAGCAAATTTGAATCAAGACGACAACAACAGGGGTGTAAATAGATCTGTAAATATGTATAGAGAAAAACTTAGTACATATTTTGTTAGTAACCGTGGTCAACTTCCATGGCAAAATGACAAAATATAGCGATTAGGGTATGTACTGTAATAAACATTCAAAAATAATTACCGTAAACTTTTTGTTCTGCCTCTTGTTTTGTTTTGAAATCATCACTACAAACAGCTTCTGCAACTTCAATCCACGCAGAGTTTTTTCTATTCCTATCTTTATATTCTTCATCCGTAGTGTCCCAAAGCACTCGTCGCTTCTGAACCTCTGCTATAAGAAGATCGATATCCATGCTACAAGTATTTATACTGATTATTTTTTACTACCCACAGTATAATATTCATAAAGACAATTATATGTATAGTTAGGTTTGTTATAGTCACTATAATTGTCAATAGAAAAATTTAATTCCTTACCCAATTATTATACCAATCCAAGACAATGTGTCAAATCCATACAGATAATACGAATTTACGAGTTTTTGAAATAACCACCAAAGAGTAAGGTAACCTTTGAAACCACAGTCAGAAAAGCAAACGATTCACAATACAACAACAATTCCTATGTTGCCAAATCATCAAAGATTCATGAGTTTCAAGAATCGCACGGCCAATTCACCACTGTGTGACACTATACATTACGTCAAATGTTGCGCTACAACGCCTCAAACGGACGATGCAGAAGGAAACGAACGTTGACTACTAGACTGCGCGGCAACATTTAGGCGCGTTCTGTGTGTGGCTGTCTCAACCATTTTATGTACGTTCTGAAACGGACGTATATACGTGCGTCGCGACGTCCGTTTAATTCACGCTCGTCTGACCCTTCCCTAAGGAATGAGACGATTGTCACTCTATTGATTACAGTAAGAAATCATTTCATTATCGTTTCAAGATGAATAACCATTTATTTTGTAAACAAAACCATATTTATATATTTTCATGTGTTGTACCAAACCGAGCAAAACTCCAAGGATCGAACATTTTCTAAATAACGACGTAGATGTTGCCATATTTTTGTATTTGTCGTTGAAATTAATTAGACAGAAACGAAACAAAAAACGTAAATGGTGGGTGCATCCTATAAATAGTGCAAGACTTTCACACGGCTGCTTTTATACCCTGTACCCTCTCTTACGACAAGATCCTGAGCGCTTCTTCAATTACTTTCGGATGTCCCAATCTTCTTTTGATGAACTGCTGTCGTGAAACAAAACTGTTTGCTTTGTTTCCCGAGCCTCAGTGCAAGCTCCACACACTCTGAGGAAACTTGGAAAATGGAAAATTATGCTTTTAATTTAGCAAATTTTCTTCTACCATTGCACGCCGTTTTGCTGGCGGAATTCTGGAAAATTCACTTGCGGTGTGCGTTCGTTTAGGTGGAATGTTTTTGGCAGCTGTTACGTCAGTTGAAGGTGGTGGACTCTGACGACTCGATGGCCCTGCAAGTGGCTGTGCTAATGATGCAAGATTTTCTTCCACGGGTGTATCCGGATCTTCATTGATTTGTGTCCCATCTTCATCAACACTTGTTGTTGTTGCAGATGGAGTACCGCATAGGTACTTGGGAAGTGGCTGCAGTATGATTGAGTTACATTATCAGTACAGACTCGGACATTCAACAGTAGCGAAAATTATTAGAAGAGTCTGCTCTGCTATTTGGAGTAATCTCCGTCAGGAATGTATGTCACAATTCACTGCCGAAGGGTGGCTGGAAAAGGCTGAAATGTTTTTTGAACGTGCAAACTTCCCCAATTGTTTGGGTGCCTTAGATGGAAAGCATGTAAGGACCATCCAACCCGATTTCAGCGGCTCGCAGTACTTCAGCTACAAAAAAATTCATTCTCTGTTGTTCTCTTCGTAGTTGCCGATGCCAACTATATGTTTAACTATATTGAAGTGGGCTCATGTGGAAGAGAATCCGATAGTACAATTTTTGAAAACTCTAAGTTGTATAAGATGTTAGAAAAGGGCCAAGCAAATCTACCAAGGCCACAACTTCTTCCAGGAACCACTGCAACTATGATGCCCTATACATTCGTTGGCGATGAGGCGTTTTCCCTGTCTGATTTTGTAATGAGACCTTACACGGGAAAATTCCTACATTACAACAAACGAATATTTAACACACTCGCTGCCGGGTGTATTACTTATGATACACCATGTAGTGCTTTCCACAGGCCGGGGGTATCCTAAATGATACACGGAATATTATTCTGTCTGAACAGCGGTGTATTCCCTAGAATACATCGGCAATAAGAAATACATTAGCTTATGGTCTCTGCGGCCTGGCAGCATAAAGAGAAACTTAAAGTTTNCGCGAGAAAAAATCGCGGCGAGATCGCTGCGAACTTGCCGATGAAATTCGCCGTCTGCATCGAGCCTAAGGATAATATTGGATCGCGGTCGAGTTGTTCTGCGGTGAACTTGCTGAAAGAAAATCTGATTAGTATGCTTACCAGAGTCGCCTGACGGCGACTCGAGGGGGCGTTCTTTGATTCTGCTTCGTCGGCCTTGGATGTTGGTCCCTTTCTCGGAACCTGGAGTCATCCATGTTCAACGCATCGTGTAGATCGCGTAGCACTGGGTTGTTGTGCGATCTGATTCCAGCGAACACGCTTTCTGCATGTTCTCTCATATATACGTCCACATATTGCGTGTCCAGGTCTACCTGGACAAGCAATATGTGGACCTCAGAGATCTGACTATTTATAGGTCATTCGAGTACCTTCACCTATCCCCTCTTCCCTGTCCCCGCTTCATCGGTTTAAGCGGGAACAGATCGTGTTCTGCTTGATTAGAGGTTTCCATATGTTTTCGTATATCTACGCTAGCTTGGCTAAATTTGTTGTTGGACTTGGCTTCTATGAATTTTCTCCTAAACCAGTGTTTCTCCTTGTGGATGATTTTAGCTTGAGCCCACTTGATGTTATGATGAGTCCAAACATACCCTGCTATTCCGGATTTGCTGGTTTCTCCTCGCTGTGTGTGTTTCTTGTGCTCGGCAATGTGAACCTGAAATGACCTCTTAGTTTCACCGATCGATATATGATTCTCCGCCCTCGCAGGGTATCCGGTAAATGCAATTCTTGGAATCGCAGTCTGTGTTTGGTGGCACGGTTTTCGTGAGGCTGCTACGGATAGTGTTCTCAGATCTGAAGGGAAGTACAAGAACTGGTTGTGAGGCTCTCGCTGTTTTCTAGCTAAAGTCTGTTCACCATCATTGGAGTAACCATTTCGTTGAAGGACATTTTCGATTATGACAGTACTTGTACTTCCCTACATTTGATATCCACAAACTTAATCAAATCAATTTATAAAAAAAATATCAAATTAGACAATGGAAGTCGAATCATTTCTGTCAATATCTATACATAATATTTATTCATTTCAACATGAATTTCTACAAAATAAACAAGTCATCAATCAAAGAAGTCAAAGAAATTTTTTCATTCAATTTTTCTTTCCTGTCATGGTATCATCTAGCACTGTCTATATTTAACCTTTTCAACACTTTTTACGGAATATTCAAGTATAAGTGGTATTTTGAATGTTTTCAGCCACACAAAAAATTAGCTCTGACAATGCTGCAATACCACTTATACGATCCGCTGATCTTAAACCTCACTTCTTCAAAAAATTTCTTTGATTTCTCGTCGCATAACTCAAATACATTCTTGTTTTTCAAATTGTGTAAACATTGGAAGAACCACGGAGAGCTGACTCCTTAGCGCCCTCTCACGACAAGAATTTTTGTGGTTGCCTCCATTCAGGCAAACGTTTATTCATTAACCTAGGAAAAATCTATTCACCTGTACAGTCATGTGCACATTGAGCAAGCTATCCATTACTAGATGGCGCTAAAAAGCACATTTGAGAATTAATTATTGTGACATTTCCACTTAATGCCATACAATGTTCATGACAAGAAATTCGCTGCTATTGAATCAACTCCATCCGGCTGAACTCAGTAGAACCAAATCAGGATTGGCTAGAATTCATTATTGATGTTGCTAGTTATTATTTGGCAAATAATCGAGAACATTTTCTCAATAATTTCTTCGAATGAGAAGCTGCATATTATTTTATTCTTCATTTTTCACAAAACTTAAATGAGCTACCTATTTCCAGTATGCAACATAACGTACAACAGCCTACTTACTTTTGAAAAACAAGCTGCACCAAGTTGATCAAGCATCAGCAATTTTATTGATACCGATCCGATCCCATTAACTCATAGGTACATAAAGAACATTATACCCCTGCGAAAAAGTAAAATCCTATATCTGAAGCTCCATTTGGAGGACGTGCCAGCATCATCAACCAATAATGACCATTTTCCAAACGAATGGAATAAGTAATTATTAGGTCCTAGAGCCATATGTTCCAAGAAGATGTAGCGAACTAAAAATGACAGCCTTCTGCATTTGCCTAGATACGATTTTTGTCGTTTTGAGGCCATACCATATTCTTACTCTTTTTTTTAATTTGGAGCAAGAAAGTGGTATTTGTGTCTTCTTGGAATGACTTGCTCTTGATTTGCGGAGGCCAAGGCGCAGGTCAATTCTTTTTTCAAACCCTCAAAAGGATTAATGTAGACTAATTTAGTTACACTGGGATGGGAGACATTTCCAGCAAACCGAAAAAATTGGGAATACAGTTTACTTGCTAATTTTAACAGGGTTTTGCATCCCTAACGTTGAAATGAATGAAATAATAAAAAAATAATTAATATTCAATATTGAATTTAAACTGTCGCTTTATAAAGAAATCAGAGAATCAAATTTTTGAAATGTTCTACTTTTTTCAATGGTTGCTTCATTAGGAAAAGTAACAAAATACCCTAGGGTTGGATGTACCAAACCTTACAATTCCTGAGCGAAACCATCCAGGAAACTCAAAGATTTTGTTTTGCACTCTTCCAACTAGACTTCTCCGATTCTTGAGATCCGGAACTCCGGCAGTTTCAGCAGTAGACATTCCGGATCTAGTATGAAAAGTACACAAATGAAATGTTAGAAGACAAATTGGTATCACCTTCAGGTTCGAGGTTAGATAGTCTCATTATATCAAAGATCGAACAACCTTTTCAACAAAATGAGCCTTTTACTTCGAAGAGTA